TGCCTTATGGGCTACTTGATGGATGGCATATTAATACTCCCATTTTATTATCCTCTGAATCCCTTTCCTTTAAATACTGGACATACTCCCTCGCTCGTGACTTTTGGATATACCCCTCCCCTCCACTTTCCTTCATCTTGATCTATTTTGATAAATTTCTTTCTATGTATAGTTGTTAGCACTCAAGCTATGGGACCAAGACGTACGAATGATCTGTACTCGCTGTAATTCCGACCTTGAGGCAGTGTTCTCTACAATAGTCAGCAAGTATCAAAAATTGTGAGTAGTAACTCGTTTTAAATAGACTTATCCAGGCATGTTGGACACTGTAAACTCACCTGCGTAGCAGCAATGGTCGTCAAATGGGCATTAGCAATGCTAACAGCAACGCCGTTTTGACGAAGGATCTCGTAAAAAAATTCCAGATTTTATACGAGCTGAATTTTTTTTTATACTGTGACACTCAAATGGTTTCACTTTGAATCGATCAACGCCACATCTCGTACAATCACAATCGTTCAGTCTGGAAACCTTTGAGAGTAGCCAAATACGTAACCAATCAAAACGCATGTAAACGCACATCAATCGCAGTCGTAGAAACTGGAAGCCATTTGAGAGTAGCCATATACGCTTTTCAATTGTGATACTCAAATGGCATCACTAGGAACCAATCAAAGCGCACGAAAACGAACTTCATCCAATCACAATCGTTGAATCTGGAAGCCATTTGAGAGTGGTCATTGGGAACCAATCAAAACGCACGTAAACGCACATTATCCAATTACAGTCCTTGAATCTGGAAACCATTTGGAAGTAGCCCACCTGTAAATTTCCACTTGCCACTCCATACTTATTCAGCTGTGATGTTTATTTTCCATTAATTCTCTTATTTCTGGTTATTATTTTTGTTTTTAGCTGCAACAACAACTCGTGTTCCCCGCCCAGCATACGGATCGGTATCGCAGGAAGCGAGCCGTACATCAGTGCAGTGTTAAGACCATACGTTGAGCAGCTGTCATCCAAGCCTCCTGATTGGCAATCCTATATTCGCTTCTTAGTCATACCGTTTGGTAAGAACCAATATGCTAATTACATTTTGCTGGGTTTCATGTGACGTCATTTCCTGTCTCGTGTGGAATGTTCATCAGCTAARTTGCAAGTTTTTAAATAGAATTCTTTTTGGCTGTCAATACATGGTGGTCCGTGTATGTCACCATTTGGAGCAGATAATTAGATTCAAAGACATTTATTAGCTGAATTATCATTGCTTGTGTATATTATTGTCATTCTCAAAGGTGCGCTACCTATCGCAAAGTATCTCGCAGCACTGGACAGTACCTATAATTCCATGTTTATGGACACGGTGTGGAAGGAAGCTTTTGAGCAGTCACAGTCAACTGTAGGTATGTATCGTAGCTTATGTTACACCTGGGAACATGTATATATAGTACACGTAATACTAAGTTGATGGGAATAAGTTAAGGGGTATGAATTTCCATCTAAAAGTGATTTGCCTCATCATCACCAGTGACATTATTCATTATCATTATTCTTTTATTTTATACGTTTCAGATTTTAACGTTATCAGCGAACGTGTGACCACATACATGACGGCCAAAACCGTCATCCATAACCTTCCCATCGCTGAAGCTTTGATAAATACTAAACACAAAGGGTGAGTACTTTGTGGTTATAATGCACCTGTCAGCGGCTTCCCCGTGGGGTCGACCCCCGGGCTGACCAGGGAGATGGGTGGGAGAATATAGGAGGATTGGATCCAGCTATTCCCCCTGGGGTTGGGAAAATTTGCGACATTGGTTTCGTGGCTAAAAACTGAGGTGGGGGATTGTAATGAAATTATTTTCATTGCAGAGGTTACCAGGGAGATTGATTTTACTCTCTAGTTAAAGAAATAGCTCCTGATTTTAACAATTTTGAGACCACGGATGTTTTTGGTCAGGCTGGGTTACCTGGGTTACCTACTTTTAAATGTGAATTCTTCAATTCATGAGAGTTTTCTTTAAATCTTTTCAATGAAAAACTACCTGAAATATCGAGCAAACCGCACTGGTTACGCGTTGAGTTCAGTTTTCAAAATACAATAACAATAATTTCAACCAAAATGAGGGAGATTGTAGATTTGAATGCCTCGACCAGGGGACATTGAAAAGAACAACTTCCCTACCCCTGGCGGGAAAAAATGATCAACATTGTTTATAAATTTTTACAATCTCCCTGGTCAGCCCGGTGGTCGACCCCACGGGGAAGCCGCTGATAGGTGCATAATTCCAGTTTTACACAATTACATTCCTTTTCTACCTTCGTTTTTCATTTTGAGTGTATTTTTCTCGATAGTATGAGCAGAATATTCATGTCAGAAAAAAGTGCCTTTGGAATGCCTTGATTAATGTCCATTATTCTTACTTTGTCGAGACGATTCCGCGCGTGCTACAGACGACTTTTATTCATTTCTCTTTCATCCTATTTTTCGCAAAAATCAACTTCCAAATTCCGATTGCAATCTAGTAATTTTTTTTTTTGTTTATTCATGTAGTACCGAAGAGGGATCGTCACAAGTGTTTGTACCCTTCGTTTGCGTAAGTTATCTTGTTTTCTTGGTGGTGAAGATCAGACAGACAACTTGATTGCCATGATTACAAATGACTAATGTGGATTTTATATATTTATATGAGATTTTTGTGTTTTCTTTTGAAAAGGACGTTCGCATCGGATCAACGGACCCGTACTTAGGTAATATAACCACCAGTTATGAAGAAAACGATAAAGGGGAAGAAAGAAAGAGGAAGGAAAGGGAAAGAAGTTGGAAGGAAAAAATAAGGGATTGAAGGAGAAGAGGAAGAAGCAAAAAGGAAAAGAGAATGAAATTTGAAAGGGAAAACAATGGAAGGGGAGCCAGTTAGTCTCCTACGCAGCCGCTATTAGTTTCGTCACGCAACGCTTACTCCCCTAAGTAGCTTTCGGGCTGCGGCTGCGTAGCAGACTAGGAGCCAGTGAACAAGGAGAAAAATAGGAAAAGGACAGGAAAGGACTGAGAAAAAGCATTACAGTTTTCTGATCCTAAATGTTGAATAGATTATGTCATGTTTGAATTCAATATAACAACGCATTTTCTCCACACAGATGATGAGGTCATAACGACCAGCGGTCAACCGTCGAGTACTGGTACCCAGCCAATACAGAGCACAACAAGAGGAGATCAACAAGCTCCGACCCCTGCTGTCTCACAGTCCCCTCCCGCAGCATCCTCTAGCCCGCCTAAGTAAGTATGACCTTGTGCTAGTTTATAGTGGTTTGAATGATTGTTTTTGAAAGTGTTCCGTGTCAATAGAACTCTTTACTTTAATTTTGGAGCGATTTTCGTCCAAGTGCCCCTTTAATAATTGGTTGTAATGTTTTCGCATGTCAGACCACGTCATTCCCCTGAGTAATATTACTTTGTTTAACGGTTGTACATAACAAGACACATGAATATATATGGGTACAACTGAAACTAGGAATCTTATTCTCAAGTGAATAACACGTGATCTGAAATGGGTAAACATTAAGTCCTAGATAAAAAAAAAAGATATTTCTATTTTCTATATTAATGTATTTATTTATATTTATTCGTATTGCTTCTGAAAAGCCCTGTAAAGGAATGGAGTCAATAAAGTATGTAAAGGTATATTCTACTCACTTTTTATGTGTACCTGTTGTTCTGTAGTAAAGAATCTGGTATGGTAACATTCCCATCTCAGCCTGGTAATGAGTTGATGGACTTACAAGTCGATTACTGGCTCGTTGCGGGGAATAAAAAAGAGGCAACAAAGGTACCACACTTTTGTTTCCTTGTATGCATTATATCTTATATAGCACGGTTAATATACGACGCGCACTTTCAGATTGCACACCTCAGTTACACACTTCAGTTACAAGTTCTCTTGAGATAATAAGATCTTATTAACCAAGCGTGAGCCTTTGCATAAATGTCCAAATCATATGCAGAAAAGTACTATTTTTTGTTTTCATGCACCAAGGGAGGCTTAATACTTAATTGCAAATGATTAGTACAACCATGTAAAGGGTAAGTGGACCAAGCGAGCCGCAGATCGCAGATTTCCATGGAGATGAGACGCAAAGACTACAAAACAGCACTAGAGCAGTTTTAGTATGACTGAAAAGCTCAGTGCCTTAAGCGTGAGGTGCCGTGACCGTGATGCTTTCTAGAATTTTAATTGGCTGATTTTTTCACGCGCAATGTGATTGGTCTGGCAGTGCCGTGACCTTGTCGTGACCGTGTCCGCGCCGTGTTTATGACGTGTTCCGGGTATTTGATTGGATGGAGAGTAAATTCTCGTGCAATGTGATTGGTCTGGCGTATCCCTTGCCGTGTCATGGCCATGTTCGTGCCGTGAATTTTTCAGTCATACGAAAGCTGCACTAAGCGAAGAGCTTAGATTTGAATAAGATGGAAAATCATTGCCGTACTTTTTTCATGCAGTGTTCATTAAAAACCACCTTCAAGTCTTTAGTCGTGACCAGACTGCCTACCAGCGAAGAACCGTCAGCTTTGTCACTGATGGCGGTTACCAAAGAACGCAAGCAAAGAGGTACGACTTATCACCATTCATTTTTATAACGTAAAAAATGCCCCCAAGTGGTTTGGGAGAAGGCGGGGACAAAACCGGGGGACAAAAATCCCTAGGGAGGAGTAGGTGGTGGATGATGTCTCCCTTTGGAGGGAAAGTTGTGACTAGTCCACAAAAATCCATGGGGGGGGGGGGGAAGAGAGCAAAATATTTCTTACTGAAATTATTGTCAATGTAAACTTATTAGGTTTTGAATCAATGATGCGGTCGATTAAGAAAACGAAAGAAAAAGACCCAGATTCTAAAAACCAACCAATCGTCGCCAACTTATCCAAGCTTATTTGTACAACGAAAGGCCAAAGCAGTACTCTTAATGGTAAGATTTTACTAACTTTCATTGCCGGAATGTCAGGAAACAGTGCGTTCATGAGCAAAGAAAGTATGCGCATGCTAACTTATTCATGTCTGTCCTTGAACACTCCTCAAAATAATGACACTTGTCCCCGAGTGTGTCCCGAACACATTGAATCACATTGAGTTTTTTCCTTGTGTGCGCGTCATGTTTGTTCGGATTGTTCCCAAGTATGCCTCAAAGGGTGCTCCAAATCACAGCTTTTGACTGTGCCTGCATCAATTTTGTTCAACTCATCGCCGAGTGTCACCCGCACTTTACTCCAATATTAAAATCAATCCTATCTTTTCTTTGTCAGTGATCATCGATGGTGTACAATGGAGCGAGGTCAAGTTTTTTTCGCTCTCTTCTCAATGGCCCACACACGTCAAGCAGTTCCCCATCGGTTTATTTTCACGAGTTGAAACAAATTATTGAAATCGTTAAATCACCGAGTTCCAGTGTTCTCGGAATCGTTACTTGTACGAATAGGTTGCGTGACTGATGAATGGTAAGCGTGACGCTCACTTCATGATTCAATTAGAGATATCATAAAGCTTCGAGTCAGTCTACAATATAATATTACTTACCTTCTATCATATTTAGCCATTAGTTGGTGCTTTGCTATCTTTATCTATTTCAAAATAAAGAAAATGTCACGCTTGCCAGTCATCGTCGGATGTACCTGCGTGACCTATTCAAGCAAGTCACACAAATAAATGAACAAAGTAATATTTTGAGCTCAACTTTTTTCTTAAAATTTCACAGATCAAAGATCTGCACAGATTTGAAATTTCTTGCAAAGGTTTGAGATTCTTTAGAGTCATTTACCAAGAAAGGGATTAAGTTAGTTTTGCTATTTTTATATTTTTGAGGAATTTTGATAAATTATTTTTCATTCTGCTTGTTCCTTGCTGGAGAGGGCGAAGAGAAAGGGCAGAACTGAAATTTGAATTTAATTTGAACGAAGATTTTATTTAAAAGCTTCTGAAGGTTTAACCATTCCTTGGTATTATTAGTACTCGTTCATTACTTCTAGTTACTCTGGTTTTATCATCAGTTCAATTTACGCTTTTCATTGCTTTTTTATTATTATTATGCTATTTTCACTTTACTATTTACAAGCCGGACTACACAATTCAATGTCCATTCCTCATTTTTCTTCTGGGGCACTATTATTACTCAAGCAATTCTGAGAGAAAAGCAATACAGTACAGTACAGAATTTCTAACTGTAGCTTTTGGCTGCAGTCCTGCATTAGACCATACAAGAGGATTTTTTTAGTCCAATACCAAATAACCAAAATTGACCTTTACAAGCATACTCTCTTTGTACTGTGTTTATTTCCATAGCAGTACCATAAAATCAGACGACTTCGCRAGAAGAGACTACAGATAAGTCATAACCTTTGAAATAACATCACATTGTCATTGCTTTCTTTACTTCTCTAGAATGTTGGCTTTCTTTCTTTTAACTGTAAGTATGACAGTGATCTCATTAGTAAAATCCAGGACTAGAGTTATTTTTGAGAGGGGTAGGGTTGGGTGTGGTTAGTTCTCAAATCAAACTTGCATATGAAAGAAACATATAACTATTGAAAGATGACTAAAGAAATATGAAATCATTTATTGTCCTTTTAGGTGTAAAAGGATTACAGCCGGGAGAACCTACACAGTAAGCAGTTAAATTAATGTATTTATAAAAAAACAATGAATCACATTTAATACAATATATAGAACAACAATAGACCCCTTCAGCAGCACTTGGAATTGCAGCTCAATTTGGAGGACATAGCAATAGGTATCCAATTCTCAAGAGATTGGAATTCTTTTGTTTCTTCCTCCAAATTGAGCTGCAATGTTGTCACATGCATGCAAGGGGTCTGTAGAACACAAAAGATTTTCTAAATACTTTACATTAACTGAGTGCTATGTAGGTTCTCTCGAATACAGCCTTTTTCCCTTTCTTAACTTGTAGAAATACCATATACATTACTGTGTAAATATATCAATTCTGGGTAATGCTTGCTTTACATCAATAGAGACTATAATTGGGTTTGTGAAACCACTGTTAATTTAAAGGAATTTTGTTAAGTAGTTAGATACAGAATTTGAGAGATATTAATAGAGAATTTTAAGAGTATTAAAAGTTGATATATATTAGAAGGAAAAATTCTTATTTTACTTGCGTATACCATATGCAGAAATAAAATGTGTACAAATCAGGAGAATGAAGTGTTGTACTTGTTATTTTGGTGGTTATTGGTGTTTCACATACCGTAACTGATACTTATGAATGTAATGTTATTATGGGCATTAAATAAACTTTTCTGGGGCAGTAAAACACTATTTTTACAATAACTTACAAATTTCTCGCACGCTGATTGGTTATTTTTTATCATTAATAAGAGGATAGACAGATAAAGCTGATGTCAACGAGCGCGCGCTCTCTCCGTTGGTCGTTTTGATCGCTAAAAATGGGAAGTTTTTATCGTTTTTGTTATTGTAAAAAACAAACAGACGCCTCGTGAATCCACACTACTTTGACAATGTGATGACGCAATTTATCGTCAATAAGAGGACAGACACAAAAAACTGATGTCTATTTGTTAAGTATACAAAATCATTGTCTTGGGGTTTGTAGAAAGGTTAATTCAAATTTAATTTCTCATAACATAACTAAACATACACTAAAATGACATCACTCATTAAAATATTGGGGGTATAAACCTTGATATCTTCAAGATACATCACTCAAATCATAAAAAATATTTATTCCCTTCGCCAAATATGCTAAACAGTGTAAAGTATAAATGTATCAATCAGCAGTCGTCCTATTTATAGGAAATATAGGAGGTTTTCTTTAAATATAGGCTCTTTATAGGATCCTATACAAATTATAGGAAATATAGGATATATAGGAGGTCTAGGATGCCTGCGCAAGGCGAAGTATGGAAAGGTGGCCGACATGAAAATACAAAAGAAATCAGACATTCTCTCGATGGAATTTGTACTAATTTGATATTCTCTTTCCCTGTTAGCCAAGACCTCTTTATCTGGGGCGAAATGTTTTACCATTTGAGATCACGTGTTTCTCTTGAGAATAAGATTCTTTGTTTGAGTTGCATCCATATTCATGTGTCTTCGCATGCACAACCGTTAAACAAAGAAATGATACTCTAGAGAATGACACGTTGTCTGGAATGGAAAATTAAACTATGCTCAAGGTAAAAAAAGTCTCTTTCGGTACTATGGAATACCACACTGATATCATGTTATGAAAACAAAAATGTACCCCATTGCTAGATGAACTGTAGTATCGTGTAGGTGATCAATCCATAGATAAGGAAGGAGGACCTAAAATACCATCAAAACAAAAACATCGTTAGTATCAGAGAAAAGAACCCTGGTTCCTGCCCACGACACGTGCATCAGGACAAGCAAAATAGCATCTACAAATTAGAACGGTAAATCTGTTATATGGCAAATCTGTTATAGATAGACTCTTTAATCCCCAAGACAATAGTCTTTAAGCTGATCTGAATGCGGGAAACGGTGTTGGAGTTTGGCAAAGGAACTGAGGTCGTACTGAGAGAATAGAAGGGTATCTTAGTCCTGTTAGAATGTAAACAGATCAAATTTAAAATCTTTTCACCAAGAAATAAGGCAGAACGAGATTCACCTCTGAGGAAGATGGAGCTGTTTTGGAGCGCTCTTATTCTTGTGTGGTGTTTGCGTTGCTGGAAAACTCAAGCTTTTAGTAAGTATGCATCAACGAAGTTGTAGCCGCGTCTTAGTAAAAGTTGTTTATACAGTGCATATTGAAACAGTTTAGGAAAACGATCTAAACTGTGGAAAGACTTCTTTTTGTTACCAAGAAATGAGTCTCAATTAAAAGAGCTTGTATTTCGCGCAGTCTGCTTCAGGCAGTCAAAACTAAATAGGAACAAAACAGATAAGGTAGTGTCGCAACATTCAGGGTGTTAACTCCTTGAACATTTTCGAATGTTTTCAAAATTAGGAAGATTTAAAATCGTATACCTTACGACTTAAACTCCAAACAACGTGAACATGGTTTTGGCGGAACTTTTCACTTTTCTACTCTTTGGTCAAAGGGAAAGACAAATGTCTAAGAAAAGTAGCGGTTAAGTCGTCAAAATAGTAGCACAATAATTTTAGAACAACTGCGTTACATCAGAGAGGAGAGGAAGTTTTTATCTTGCAAATAGGAAACACAAAATCCGCGCAAAATGAAATGTCTATGGGGGGTTGAAGAAGGACGAACCCCAAAACACATTCCAATTATCAAAATAGAACCTTTCAGTAATGGTAATTTGGAAGACCCTTGAGGGAAAATGTGCCTATTTTTTTTTGGCGAATTCACACCAGGCATTATCACTTTTGTATTGCCAAAAAGACTTTTGACGATAGCCAGCAAGTATCCATGCATTAATTTAGTAGAAAGCCCGCAAACAATTTGCCCATTGCAACAAAATTGCACTGAAAGAGGTTACTGCCCTGCGTCGAGAGGCCACCAGGCGCGGACCAACAACTGACAAGAGCAGATTGAAAACATTTCAAAACCCAAAGGTCTCTGATAATGTTACTGTAATCATTTGTACGTTGACATTATGATTATCGAATAGAAGAACTGTAGTTCACTTCAGTTTTCAGAACAAGAATCTTCTCTTTTAACAGACTTTATATTTTTAATATAATGGTGTTGTCTGAGGACCGTCTGACCTCGGTTTATGATTTGGCTTTGGCTCCTTGTTTTGAATCTAGAAAAAAATTCTTTTTGCAGTATTTAACAAGATTTCTACAATTGGCAATACATAATGAAGCAGTTGCCAACTCTGACCTGCTAAGCTAGAAAGTATGCAAATTGCCAAATATTGATCATGCTTGTGAAATAGTTGACAACCAAAATAACAAACCTTGGATTTTTGGTCAGTAGGAAACTCTTCTTCATACGGCCGTCCTGTTGAGATCCCTGTAGGTTTTAGTGACACTCCGAATCTAATGATTTTCGCTAATGTTTCTGTCGATCTGCTGATGATATTGTAGACTTCTTTCGTAGCATAAACACGACTCTTGAACTGAAAACAAAAGTGAGGTTTTCTTAATTGCTTTCTTATGATTGACTTGAAAACGGAAGGGAAACGACATTTGATCTGAAGTGGAAAAATAATGGGGGAAAAAAATAAAGCGATATTCTGAAACAACCTCTTGAGTGATGTAAGTCATGATCATGGCATGACTAACTCACAGATGAAACCTTGAAATAACCACTTGGGTGATCTGAGTAGGACATGGCTAACTTACAGCGAGGGAAACAAGAGAACCCGTAGAAAAACCCTCGAACCAAGGGAGACAACCTATTGACTTCTACTCACATGTAATATCAAGTCTAGAAATTGAACCCAAGAGCCCAGAGGTGAGGGGCAAAGAAAAGAGATAACTAGCTAAAAACTAGTGTGAGCTGCGTCGGTGTTTCTAATGAAACAGTAATGATAAAAGGGTAAATTTTACACCGTGAAAAGATGAAAAAACGTACTGACGTTTCGGACGCAAAAGTCCTTCGTCGGAGTAAAAGAGGGAGTAAATGAGGTGAGGGGCTTCTGCTATGGAAATGGCTTATGAAGTCAGTAGAATATTGGGAGAGTTTCGAGTCATTCAACATAGCGGGGATGACTAAACCTCGCCCAAGAGCAAATATTGTTTCGGGTTAATAGAAGTTAATGGATAAATTTAATTATTCATTTTGCCAGTATTCGAGAAGGATGGATACATGTACAAAATCACGACCAAGCGCGACGACCGACGAACATTTTACGAAGCGGAAGAGATCTGCCAACAACAAGAGAATGGACACCTTGTCAGCATCATGGGCTACAAGCAAAATGAATGGCTTAACAGTAAAATCCGTCTCGTCTTGCAGTCAAATGATGTTGAGAAGTTCTGGGTGGGCGCAAATGATAAGAAGAGTCGAGGGATTTTCCAGGTGGAGTTGGGATTCTTTATTTATTATGTAATACACTATTGCAACATTGTTTCTCGTTGCCTTCCGTACTCACAGCGGTGCGTGGGGAGAAAATGGCGGGTCCCTACACTTGTGCCAGCGGCAGACTACAGCTCAAATAGGAAGTTTTCGAATTAGTCAGATACCGCTGTGTTCCTTGATTACCGACACATTTATACAGGGATAGCCTAATGTTAGTGTAAGAATATTCACAAATACGGTAAAGTAAATGATGCACAACTTCAACAATACAGAAACTTTGAAATTATTCCACGGACCTTCACTGGAATGCATAAATATATAAAATAATTCCACACATACGAAATCGAACTGTGACTGGAGTATTGATGGTTTTCACGATGGCCATGTTGGAGGAACTTAACAAAAGAATTGTCAATGAATTCTTTTGTTATATCCTCCAACATGGTCGCCGTGACTTTTGTTATTTAATTCTTTTGGGAATGATTGAAAACCATCAATTCATTGGTTGTTCAATACTGACAAAAAGCGAGTGAAGTTCTATTTCTCGTTATCCTATCCAGATCATTAGCCAAACCGCGGCCATTTCTTTATAGCTTATTTTCCTTGTTCCAAAGTCACCGTCTCAAAATCCTTTAAATATCAATAACAATAAAACAGCCGCCATGTTGATTGATCTAACAAGAGAAGAAATGCTTTTGTTATCGTCACTAACTAACATGTATGTGATGTAGGTGATGGCTAGTAAATATATTTCTGCCATTCCTGGATTGGCTCCTGCCTTTATTCATGAATTCATCGCGAGGCATCAAACCAAATTTTCCTTTGGACATTACGTAATCGACGGCATGTTGGTCGTGGTATTTCAAAAAACACATTTCATAGCCTAGCTCCGTACCTCCAACATGGCTGCCATGTCTTTTTTTGTTTGACTATATTGGTTTGTGTTGTTTAGTGGATGGATGGCAAACGGTTCGTTTATTCCAAGGCCATGTTAGCATCCGCCAGATCAATCTTCAAGAAGCGCTACGAAAATGAGCGATGCTTATATCTCAGGTCCAGTCCTTCTGGAGCTGTTTGGGCCGACGTGGACTGTTACGAGTCAATGGGGTACATTTGTAAGATTCAAGGTAGGCATTTCTAACACCGCAAAAAAGTGAGAAAGATTTGGCACGGGGCATTTGGATGTAGATGCAGGAAAAAAGACACAGGCCATGAATTCGACATGAGATTCTTTGTTTAAAAGCAGGTCGCAGGTAAAAGGTGTCTCTTTTTTAAATATCCTAGGTTATCCAAAAAGAATTATTGGACGAACAAGATTTGGATACGGTACGTATTAACAGAAAGGTGTTTTATAAAACAAGGCTAACCTTAAGGAAGAAGGGTGGAGAGGAGAGGAGAAGACAGAAAAGAAAGGGGGAAAAAGTGAAGATAACAGAAGATAACAACACAAAACAAACGAGAAAAGGAAAGGAAAGGAAATTTTTTTCTCCTCTGTGTCTCAACATTTTCTCTGTTTTTTCTCTTTACAATCAGAATTCGATTACGGCCACTACATCTATAAGATCATCTTAATGTCCTACGACACGCTTCCTTGGCCTGAAGCAGAAATCTACTGCAAGCACGTTGAAACAGCTCACTTGTTAAGCATCGAAACCCCCGATGAAAATCAACTCGTTCAACAAACCTTGAGGCAAGTGCGTGCTGTGTATGGATTCAGACGGCTGTGGATTGGCGCGAGCGATTTTTACGACGAAGGCAACTTCATATGGTCTGATGGAAAACCAGTGAACTTCAGTAGATGGGCAGCCAATGAGCCTTCGGGAAAACCACGTGGTCAGAGGCGTGACTGTGCTGTTGCTACCATAACAACGGACGATGTACGCTGGTACGACGAAGAGTGTTTGATGGAGCTGCCGTTTATTTGTAAAATTAAAAGTGAGTGGTTCTTTTGTGTGTTTGATTTGCATTAATGCGTATATCGAACAGTGCCTGGCTTGGCTTGTTTGCCTAAGTATGTTCACCTCATCCCGTATTTTATCAATCCCTGATGAGACAACCTCGATCTGGGCTGATGTACCGATCTGATCTAGTCAGGGCACAACTAACTCATACACAAAAAAGACAGACAGTCGATCGCGGGATATATAGACGAACACAAAAGTATTCAGAATAAAAAAGTTGTAAATCGACAGACAGACAGACAAACAGACACCAGACAGACAGACAGACACCAGACAGAACAAAAACAGGTGCACGGATAGACTATAAAAGACCTTGGTGCTTTTCTTGACTTCGCCTGTTATTTTCCCCTAGTGTGTAATGTGAGAGTAGATGTTGGATTCGTCATCGACAGTTCAGGCAGTGTGACGGGGTCTGGCTTCTTGCAGGCCAAGCGTTTCGTCAAAGCAATGATATCAAGATTCGACGTATCGCCTCGGAAAGCCCACGTCGCGGTTATCCGATACTCTACTGAAGCAAAACTCATGTTCCGACTTGACCAATACTTCTCAGCCGAAAGCCTTGCTCGGGCAGTTGATAATATCGCTTATATCCAAGGCGGAACAAGGACCCACGTTGCTCTTAAGATAGCAAGAGAGAGTCTGTTCACAGTAGAAGGAGGCGCGAGACCTATGATCTCCAAATTCATGATCCTATTGACAGACGGAGCGTCAGAGAACTCAAAACTCGTCGCTCACGAAGCGAGAAAACTGAAAAAGACTGGTGTGTATGTTGTGGCGGTGGGGATTGGGCCGAGCGTGAACAGGAGGGAATTGATAACTATAGCGTCTACACCGGATGATGTTATCAATGTTAGATCATTTGAATCTTTGTTGGAGAGAGTGACTGAGATTCGTGCACGAGTGTGTAACGGTAAGTCAGTAACCAACTTATATTCATAGCCGGTTAAAGAATGTTTTGTGAGGGGTGTAAAAACTGGGTGTAAGCCAATATGGCGGCTGTGACGTCATATGAAAATATATATGAAGTCAGTAACCAACTTATATTCATAGCCGGTTAAAGAATGTTTTGTGAGGGGTGTAAAAACTGGGTGTAAACCAAAATGGTGGCTGTGACGTCATATGAAAATGTTATCTCATATTTGACGTAATATTTGGCTGACCCAGTTTTGATTCTCTTCTTTCAGGTCAGTCCGTTTGAGGGAATCCTTAGCATGTGAAGTGACATGGAGTGTGGTTATGAATTATTCATTGCTGTGCCCATCAATAATCTGCACTTATTTCTTGACCACACCCTCCACCTCGAACGTAACAGCTTACCGTTTTAGGTCAACATGCATGTCATTTCCTTGAGTACTATTTCTTTCTCAAGTGGAATAAATATTCCATTTTAAGAGGTTGTATCCTCCTATAGCTAGAGTAATGCATGTCTATAAAATCGTTTGAAATGTATTTTTAGTTGGGATGCAATACTTAGTTTCATGTTGGTCAGTCCAAAGATATTCATATTTGATTCCGTCACAAGAATTTCAAACAGCCTTAGTTTTAGGCTGCTAATATTGTCTGGTGTGATTTGCGAAACGTGTCTACTTTTAAAACCTTTTCTGCTCGTGATGATGGTATGAGATACTAATGACGAGAGCCATTGGCGTCAAGATAGAGCGATAGTGATACCCGCTGACCTCATTTAAGCACGCGATCATCGAACCCTCCATCGATGACAGAATGGAATCTAAATTGGTCAATGATTTATGGGTAATTCATGGCCGAAAGAGAAAATCAATAAACAAACCACATATCAGACAGTATTGCCTCTTTTGTGTGATTATATTTAGCTACGCCAAGATCACGAAAATCATATATATAGAATCTGTAGTATCATATGGTATTAACATGGCAGGCGATCAATAGACCTCTTGTTCAATAATAATGTCTGACTTTAAAATGCCTGGACGAAAAAAAAGGCTGAAGTTTGTCTAGAACTCAGGGAGAATACGTAGATGTTTTTAGCAATGACAGCCCTTAGTAAATATTTTTTAAAACACGAGGCGCAGCCGAGTGGTTTTAGACCCGATAAACCACGATCTGCGAGATTATTGAACGGCTTAGAAAACTTATGATGTTTGTTCTCATTGTGTACCGATTTTTTTACGAAATGAACCAAGTTTGATAGAGAAAATCCAAGTTGAAGTTTATGCAAATGAAGACGAATCTTTATCAGATATAAAATCACCTTCATGGTCATGATTTCTATTGTGTTTTCTTCATGAATTATTAATGAGTTTTCTAAATATTGTTAGAATTATTAGAAATATTGTCGTTGCGTAACTCAGAAATGACTTACCGGGAATTTGACCGGCGCTAAAGGTAGTCGTGTTTCTTGTTCAGAAAATACCTATAGTTGGTGAATATCTTTTACCATTTGCTCGTCTGGGACAATGGAATCTTTACCTGGCACCTATGCACGACGGGTACGACCCTATAAAAGAATTCAAATTTAGCAACACTTCGTTTCAGACGGATAGACAAGGAGTTAAAGTTGGGTAACCCATTTTCTTTGCGTGCTGTATTTTTCACCCTTCACGCCGGCAATACTACACGGGCTGAGTGGAGATATGAAGATACGTAAAATATATTAATAGTTACAGCTATAGGTAACACAGCCGTTATAACAAATAGAATAACACACAAATATTAATTAAATAATACAAAATGATCAAAATCTACATACAGAAAATTAAGAATTAAAATATATGAATTCAAGAAAGTAAGACGAGCCTTTCGAAACTTTTCTCGGAAGCTTTGTTTCGATACTGTATTTTCTGCAGTCTGCAGAACCAATTAAATAAATATGGAAGGTCGCATTAACAAAATGTGGTCTCAAGACAGGGGGTCTGTGGACGACCGCTGATCCGGCATCTACCATCGTACGGTATTCAATTGTTTGTGGAGTCCTACTTCTATAAGTTCAATATACATGGTAGGATATATTTTCGCTACTTTATATGGTATCAAAAATGTTAACAAGAGTCTTATTTTCACTTCATGCAACTGGAATTGGCTTTTAAATGGCTTCCGGCTTCAACCAATCAAAGAGCGTTAAAACAAACTATTCAATTATATTGCTTGCCAGTTAAAAAACTCGCTTAAATTATCTGTTAGTTCAGTACTATAAGCGGTGGCTTGAACTCAAGAAAGAATGAAAAGGAGAAGAAATTGCTGCAAGTTTGTTGAAATTACAAAAGAAAGTAAAGAATGTGAAATTTCTTGTAAAAATCAACTAAAAAATGGCGCCCATGAAAAGCAGCAGATATAATGAAACACACTTCTCCACATGCATACTTCACATTTTGTTTTAAAATTTAACATTGACATTCCGTGCTCATACGTCTTTTAATTAAGACACAGCGCTTGGTGGTCTCTCAAGGTTTTTAAAACCATCTTAAAGTCAAAACCCCTATAAATCTGAACTATTTACCATTGATTCTTAAGAGCCTCATCAATCAGTAGAACGAAAAGAATGAATGCCTGAGATTTTTAAATAAAATTAAAACTGATTCAGATCAACTGATAAAAATATCCTTCAAGAATGATCGGATAAAGCCTCTCAGAGAAATTAGTCAGTTAAAAATCTACATAATTATGACTTTATCTTGATTTTATTAATAAAAAAATATATCTGAAAAATTGTCAAGTATTTGCCCTTGGGGCTAGTGCTTTTAATGTATAAAAGGTAAGTCTGTATCCTCTTTAGACATTCACAGGAATGTTGTGTGGTCGATCCGGGAGTATCTAGCATCCGGCCTTGTACGTAAAAAACATATATCGATGACTAACCATGCTTGAACTTGTTCTAGATCAGTCTAGATTAGAGAATACCAGTTTTGAGTGGAAAATTCAGCAAGAATTCAGATAAACTGGGTAAGCGCGCGAGTTAAAGGCATGTAAGTTTTCAAGGCTCGCGTCTGGTCAACTGACATAGTACTCCAACAACACCGCCATCACCTCCGGAATTCAGTGTCCCCTCGGAGAGACAAGATACATTTGAGATTATTAGGACTATTAAATTCAAAAAAATCACAATTTATTTATTATTTATTTATTTATTTATTTAATAGCTTCAACAGAGCATGAATAGACTCGTAGTCCATGTGGACATGTCCCATATATACATCAATATTACAGATTGATACGATTTACAACAGATCCGGACTAACAACAAACATGACATGGATAATAAAGAAAGAAAATAATCTATGGACAACAGACTGTTGTCGGAGTAACAGAACTACATTTAGAACAAATGGTTTTAAAGGTTCTTCTTCGGTCAGGATCAAAAGTTGAATGGAGGAGTGACTTGTAATGAAAGCGAATTTTCGTTTAAATGATGACAGAGTAGTACTTTTCTTAATTTCAAAAGGCAGTGAGTTCCAGAGAGGTAAACCAATTAAAAACCTTATTTTTTCTACAATCTGTACGATAAAGCAAACGGATATTAACGGTGCCGAGGCCCATTGCACATGACAGACAAACCTTTCAACAGTATTTGTTTAAGTTTTCTTTATCATTCTCTTGTGGTTGGTTTAAACATCATTGGCACTTCCAGGTCATACGGCACGAGTTAACATGCAAATGGTTGTGAACTGTCTACAGGAACGCGAACACTCACGGACCTGGCATATATAAAAACACTTAGTATGCCCTTATTCCTAGTCTGAGTAGCGGCCCAAAAGGGTAGGGGTGGGGAAGGGGGCTGTAAGGAAGTGCCCCCACCCTCCCCCTCCCCCCCCCCCTCCTCCCTGCTCACTTAATTATTCCCGGACTCATTGTCATGTGAGTCGAGTTTCTATTTGGTTCGTAATTGTGCTTCAATTTTTTCGAGAAATAAATTCCTAAATTCCAATTTTGATCGTGAAACGAGCGACAGTGGTTTGTTAGCCACTGGCTAAGTGCTGCCCTCTTAAAACAAGGACGATTATTCATCTTTGAATGATAAACCCTTTCGTTATCAAGAAATAACACTCATTCTGATAAGAAACAAAAGTGCAAATAAACGTATTTATAAATATGCTATTTATATATAAATTTTAGCTTTTCCGTATCGTGTTACATTTATTATCAACTATTTCATGAACTTTTATCATATATTTGTCTACTGTATACACAATCATATTTACGTCAAATAAATTTTATTTAGATTTGGCGTATTATTATCCCATTCAGAGCACCTGTCATTCCCTTGAGCATTATTTCTTTATTCACTTGTATCACGATACATTGGAGTGATTGTACTTGACCCGTGAAAGTGGTAAGCATAATACATTGTAGTAGACAATAATGCCATTGTTTTCTTTGGTCTTACTTAGACTGTTATTTACCAATGCAGATACAACTTTGCTTTTAAGTAAAATCCCTCTAGTATGATCAAGAAGTCAATAAAAAGAATCTAGGAAGTTTTTAACTTGAACTGCGAAACTCTCAATCAAACTAAGCTGTTTATAAAATAAGGAGTTGTACTATTTGTACTAGAAGAAAAGAAGAAAAAAAAGTCGAAAAAGCTATCGGAAAGGTGGAAAAAGTTCTCCGATTGTTATGGTAAAAAAGCGGTGCATATTTGCAAATTTATGAATGCAACGTTATAACGTGTTTGTTTCAAGGAACTCCCTTTAAGAGCCTCTAGATTATTCTTCTCCTTAGCTGTATCATTGTATCTGCTTTGATTAAATCGTCGAGGTCATGGCTTCTGGACGATGGAATACCACCAAATCAGAAGATATTCAACGAATGCAGACTTAGCGCAGAATGAAGACAACATGACACTTTTGAAAATCGTGGCTGGTGTCATACATCGAACATTTTTTCCGGGGTTAAAACTTTTACTGAACATAAAGGAAATGTTAAGCAATTCCGTTTCCAAATAACATAAAATTGTAAAGAATCCTTTTTGAAAACATCAACGCAAACCAACGATTTTAGCGCTAATGAATGGGACCCCACCCCCTCCCTCCCCTCTAAATTTAAAAAGCTATTATTTCACAACGACATTTGCGTATGAAATGATGCTTGTCTTCGAGTTGGACAGACTTCAAATCCATCGATCCAACCTCGGATGACCGACTAAAAGTTACTCGGTTTTAGGTTGCAGTTGCAGGCTTAAAAGTGTGGGATTGCTATTTCAGGTCAAGTCAGCGGAAAGCCTGGGATATTTGAAGTATCTATACAATCTCGTCAAGGGTTGAAGCTTCAAAACCATTTTGAGAACGAAACGAGCAAGACTAACTCAGACAATGGCAACGATTTATCGAGTTAACGTTTGGCTGTTTGTGGCGTTGATTACTTTGGTTTCTTTCCCAAAAGAAACCCTACAATCGAGCAGCCCTGGATTTAGTAAGTTTTTTTGTGTGTTTTTCTTGTGAGTCTATTTTTGGAGTGTGGTTTCTCTACTTTTTTTAGTACATGACTGTCTCGTTTTTCTATCACATATTAGCTTGAACACTCACATAAATATAAATGATACTCAAGCTCCAATGAACTAAGTGATCGAATTCAAACTAGAAATGAAAAAGCTTTTTATCGATATATTTGTTGTTTTATATTCGAGATGCGTAACACAAAGTCGGACCGTCCCATTACAAACCACTTTGTTTTCCAACACATTTTTTAGTTTTGTCGTAAGCGCGCAGTTTGCAAGGAAAACATATTTTGCGCAAATGTTTTGAGAAACTCGGAATACCACACTGAGAAATTAAACGCGGGCTATTTTGTGCAACTTTTCTTTTCTCTCTTTCTTTTTTGTTTTGTTTTGTTTTGTTTACAAGCGATTTTTTCAAGTTGTTTTGCGACTGGATTAGGAAAATCGCGTCCGTCCTGCACATCTTCCTTCTCCTTCCCGGCTCTTTTTTCCGTGGTTTAAATTACCAACAGTGTTGGTTTTTGGAGGAAGTTTTATTGCGGAATTTTCGTGTAAATCTCTAGCTAAAGACCATACTATTTCCGAAATCATTTTTCACACTTCTTTCACAATAGGGAAATTGTTGAAAATTTAAGAATTTAGTGTCAGAGTTCCTTCACAGCTTCATTAATTGTGGATTAAAAAGTTTATTTTCTCATGTTCAAGATTCAGTTTTCTTTCTTCGAGAGTATTAGTATCTTAGGATTTCTTTAGATCGAGATTGTAACAAGATTATAACGTTTTCCCTTTAGATTGTAACTTTGTGAAGAGAAACCCACTTTTCGTATGAACGTGAATCCTAGGGACGCAAGCATAAGCACAAGCGCAAGCATAGGCTCAAGCGCAAGGTAGAAGCGTTTCGTTTCTTAAGAATTTTGCGCCAAAAGGACTTTCCCTTTTTGGGACAGAATGGACAATACACAGCCGTCTGGGTGGTTATTTCTGAAGGCTGTAATGATCGCTCTCACTGAGACAAGACTTTAATGCGCCGGATCATGCGATCGCGTGCACTAATTCCTTAAAGAGGCTTGTAGTAATAATATTAGTATCCGCTTAGTTCAGGCTAGACAAACAGCCCATGTATCACTGCCAAATATCTTCTGATATAATAGTCTTCTCGTGTGGATCAATCACACATTCAGTTCTGAACTGAACAGGAAATATATCGCCCATGTTTACTACAGATTTCCTAGCCTAAGGGCAAAGGGCTAAATAGTCGGCGTTCCTGAGCAATAATGATTCGAGATGTGGTTATGTTGCTCAGCTAAGAACGCATCTAACTCCACCGCAAGGCTTTTCTCTAATGCTGGAAAAATTCAAATTTTAAAATCGAATTCTTATTTATATAAAAATATATATGACATATATATACAAAAGTGGCCAAAAATTGTCTATTTTTACTCCAGGCAATTGATGACAGATTTTTATGCACCAAACGTGTATCAAAAGACGTGTTAAGTTAAGTTCTCATCAAACCTCTTTTCACCAAAACTCTTCATACTTAGTTCTGTTATGATTTTTGTTTTAAAAGCGTCTCGTAATTATAGTGTTATCCTTAAACTGACGTGCTGTCGTTATCATTTTCTTTGCTAATCTCATATGTTTAAGTATAGTTCATCAGTCGACATCATGATTTATTTTCGCAAATATCGCAGTTCGATCCTCAGCCAGCGTGCGCGCACAGTGAAACAGTAAACGTATTCACACCACGCAGTTGAAATGATTCAATTATCCATTCTAATTATCACCATAAATGCTCCACTGATTACTTTAAATAATCTATAATCGATTCACACTCAAAGTTCGTTGTTACTCGCAAGGGCTTAGTGCGTTGGAACATTGGAAGTGAAGCGGAAACTCAGCGTTTCCGTTTTCTTGCCAAGTCGCGTCAGGATTGCATAAAATAAAAATGCTGCGCCGTCTAAGAGCATTCATTTCTGGCAGCATCAAGGTCAGAATCTTGTTTTAATTAAAGCTTCAGATTTAAGGTCCGAGAAATTAATTGAGATCTTCAATGGTTAAAACATTATCCAAGTTTGATATGAAGGTTATTGGATTACGGCACGGATTTGGATAGATCAGTTATTGTGGCGGTTGTTATCTTATATTGAAGTCACGATTTCATTTCTAATTTGAGAAAAAAATAACACTATTTTGGTAAAGCAATGAAGAGTAGGGTCAATGAATTCATCTTTTCTGACGTTGTGCACTCGTTGAATATATAAATAGCTTGTCTTGTTTATCCAATCTTTATTATCGTATCTGATTTGAAAGGTTTTTACTAGACTTCATGTTTCAAGGAGTTGGTGTTTTTTTGAGTAGACAGAAAACCCCTTGGTGCGGGTCAAGATGTTAATAGAATAGATAAGGTAATTGGTTGGACGGAATCATTTGCGCGAAGAAACATACACTAAACAGACCCTGACAAGCAGGAAAGCCGTACTTAAGCCAGAAGGACTTTTCTACATCATCTATCTATAATAGCAGCTTTAATTGAATTATTTCTAGTGATTATTTATTCTGCTCCACGAGTGCTGCGTTGAGTGTTAAAAAGAAAAGTTAAGACGGTATTGAATTCCTTTGCTTTTAAATCTTTGGTCTCGATTTGTCTGAGGACATTGGCAACCTCTATCCATGTAACATATTTTCAAGGATGAAAATGATAGAAGACCAATTAATGGTTTGTAAGAGTGAGTGGGCGTCGATTGGCCCATCACGTCTGTGCCTCAAAACTCAAAGGAACCGGTATTGATGAGCTACTTAGTATTATTATTAGCACAGAGTAATTGAATAACGAAAGGATTTTTTCTGTCTCGACTTGGTTTTATATCGGTCTGGCGAAGAAGTTTAACATGGATAATAATCAGCCTTTGTTGTCCCGTGATGTAGTGAGACATGTACACTTGTACTTTGTTGATTTGATGGCGGAAAAATGAACAAAAAAGAGAACAGAAAAACACCTCGATATAAATAAACCTGATCTAAATAAACATGAACTAATGATCGAGTTATGATGTTATCATGATTGGACGATTGAAGGGAAAGATCGACAATAGAAGATTATAATCAAATGTACATATTTGTCAGAGGAGAGGTAGAGTCAAGTCTCCAATACAGCGGAATGAAATGGAACTGTAGTACAAGAAAAGTAATAGTTTTCAAAGAGTTAAAAACTGGAACAGTTTTTTCTGAGCTTAGGAAAATAAAACATCCATTATTGAAGATCGTATTGGCTGCATTGTACAAACAAAACAAACAAACAAAAACAAAAACAAACAAAAAAACAAAAAATCGAAAAAAAAAAAAAAAAAGGGTAGCTATGTCGATGTTACAGCATGTTGTACCGTGTACATGCTATAAGTCAGTGCCGTTAGCTTCCGAAAATTACTCTACAAACACATAGATATATTTATATTATATGACATTAATCGATGTGGACCATACTTAGAATGGTGACTAGTTGGGTCAAATAGGGATGATTGAAATCACGCGCACTAGTGTAGTATTAGTCATTGATCTCAGAAGACGCCAGTGTCTGTTCTCACAGCACAGACCTAGGTATATAATTAAGCTGCAACATATGGAAAAGATTATATCGGCTTTACCAGTTTCCTAATCAATTAAGGGCGGACATCCCGGCCTCGTGTAGTTCATTGGTCTCAAAGATACTTTAAGCTTTCTCAATGGGGAACTTAACTGCCTAATAAAAATAAAAAACACACACAAAGTGCATTAAAAACATTTGGTAATACAATATGAATATACTGACAAGATTAGGTTACATTAGGTGGATGGTTAAGATCTACACAGCTTGATTAAGTCTTCATATCCATCTACTATAATGCAATGCAATTTCGGAGTAGCGGTTTTGCGGCGGGAGGGAATCCGGAGAAACATTTCCTTGAGAATTGTTCTTTTATGACGAACATGTTAGAATATTTATAATGGTAATTGAACTGAGTGGAGTGCAATTTGGTCTGAAATCAAACGCGCGATT